GAGCCCCACCTGAGCCAGCACCTGCCTCCACCACCATGTTCAAGGGGCTGAGCAAAGGCGCCCAGGGGAAGGGGTCTCCCAAGGGCTCCCCGGCCAAGGGCTCCCCCAACAAGCACAACCGGTGAGTGGAGCCGGGTGGGTGGTGCCGGACCCAGGCGTCCCAGCCTCCTGGAGGCGCAGCCCGGAGCCAGGACCAGCCCAGTGCTGGCATTCGGTGTCCCGAGGCCAAAGGGCCTGGGGGTTGGACTCTCTTCCTGTCTGAGGCTGAGCTCCAGCCCTGGCAAGAGGCTAGGGGTGGCCTGGGGCTCCTCATATTCTAGGGGCAGGGGTAGGGGGTGGGAGGACGGGCTGGGGGCCAGGAGTTGAGGCTGCTCTGCTACATGGGGCCTGAGCAGCTGCATTCCCTGCTGGGAGGCTGGGAGGCTGGGAGGCTGGGAGCCTGGGAGGCGGGAGTGCCCAGCTCCAGTTCATGGCTCTGCCCTCAAGGCTCTGCTTGGGCTGGGATGACCCTGGGGACCTGGGCACAGGATGGGCAGAGGCCTGAGGCCAGAGAAGCCAGGAGCTGGGGGGTAGGGTGCAGCGTTCCCCATGAGGCTCTCACCTCAGGCCTTGAGGGTCTGGTCACAGCGTTGGGGTGATTCCCTTACTGTGTGTGGAGGGGGTGCTGTGGGAAAGGGGAAGGGCCCGCAGGCCCCAGACTCCTCAGAGCCCGGCTTGGTTCACCCGCTCCCTGCAGGGCCCAGCCAGGCTCCCCGGGGTCTGCACTGCCGGCTGCTGGCATGCTTCCTACCTGCGGTCCTGGGCGTGCAGATAGAATGGAGACAGAATGGAGACAAAAACCTATTATCCCGATAGAGATCAGGGCCAAGGGCAACAACACGGAGCCTGTGCTTCTGGGTGGACAGAAAGACGGCACTAGGCCTGAGGCCAGAGAAGCCAGGAGCTGGGGGGTAGGGTGCAGCGTTCCCCATGAGGCTCTCACCTCAGGCCTTGAGGGTCTGGTCACAGCGTTGGGGTGATTTCCTTACTGTGGGTGGAGGGGGTGCTGTGGGAAAGGGGAAGGGCCCGCATGCCCCAGACTCCTCAGAGCCCCGCTTGGTTCACCCGCTCCCTGCAGGGCCCAGCCAGGCTCCCCGGAGCCCGGGGTGCAGACCGGCTGCTGGCATGCTTCCTGCTCTGCCATCAGCCCCCTGGGGGGGAGGGGCAGCTACCTGGGGTCCTGGGCGTGCAAACAAGAATGGAGACAGAATGGAGACAAAAACCTATTATCCCGATAGAGATCAGGGCCAAGGGCAACAACAAGGAGCCTGGGCTTCTGGGTGGACGGGAAAGACGGCACTGAAGTCTCTCATTGGGGTGACCTGTCCTCCCTGGGGCTCTGAGCCTGCCCAGGTGGAGGCGCCCCTCCTGGCGGGAGTGGGAGGCCGGGCCTGAGGACAGGGTGCCGGGGCTCAGGACCCACAGCCCCCCCCGCCCCCAGGCAGCCTCGGGGCAGTGCTTCCTGGCCTCACCTCTGTCCACATGGCCCTGCCCTCTGGCTGCAGCCCCCGCCCCCCGCCCCCATGCAGTCCACTTGTCAGCGTGCGCTATGCACCCACTGTGTGCGAGACTGTTCCAGGCACTGAGAATGCCCCACACAGAGCTGACCCGCCCTGCCTTCACGCACTGACATCCTCCTGGGATAGAAACCAGCACTTCCCGGGGCGACGACTGCACAGGCTCTGCACTGGGCACTCCAGAGGGATTCGTTCTCTTAACCCAACAACACAGCCAGGCAGATACTATTAAAGCCCCACCTTACAAGTGGGGAACTCAGGCACAGAGAGGTTAAGTAACTTGCCCAAGGCCACACAGCACAAGGATGAGAAGGATCAAACTCACGCTGTGTGGCCAGAGTCCTTTCAGACTGGTCTTTGCTGCACCACCCCTCTGCCCGGGGGCTTGTCCTTTGACCCCTGGTCAAAGCCCAGCTCTGTGACGGTCTCCTTTCCAAAGACGGTGACCATAAGGTGACCTTACAGGTGCCGTGCTCCTGAGGCTTGGCCCACTCTTCCTTCTGTTAGTTCTGCTTGACCCTCTCAGCCCCAGAGAGTGAGCTCAAGGATCCAGCAGGTGCCCTATAGAGGCTGGTGGATGAGTGCACACAGGTGGCGCCCCATAGAGGCTGCTGGATGAGTGTATGCAGATGGTGCCCCATAGAGGCTGGTGGATGAGTGCACACAGGTGGCGCCCCATAGAGGCTGCTGGATGAGTGTATGCAGATGGCGCCCCATAGAAGCTGGTGGATGAGTGTATGCAGATGGCGCCCCATAGAGGCTGGTGGATGAGTGTATGCAGATGGCGCCCCATAGAGGCTGCTGGATGAGTGCATGGAAAAGACTTGGAGAACCCGGTTCAAGCTCATAGTCCACTCCTGGGTGTGTGACCTGGAACAAGTCAGGTCCCAATTTGGGCTCTGAACCACCAAATCTTGAAAATGTTGGGGCGCCCTGGAAATCTCTTGGCCCCCACCAGGCCCCAGTGCTGTGTGGCTCCTCTGGATGGAGCCTGGGCATAGGCAGAGCCTGGGGCGGGTGTG